AAACAGGGGTTTAGGGGTCCAAAAATACATACAAGTACATATTTCAATTGCTTTAACAGTAAGATTATTGTCAGACCAGTTGTTATCATACACTGGGACTGCTTTATGGATAAAATGTCCCGGGAAACGGTCTGGACACTTTCAATTTTTTGATAACAAACAAGATTACAGAAGTCACCTATAAAATTATTCATAAAATCTAGATTCAAGGAATTCAATTCAATTCAATTCAAAATTACCTGACTAACTGTACCTTCTGTAATTCTTCACCAGAAACTGTAACCCATCTGTTTTGGCATTGCCCCTTTGTCAAAATCTTTATAACTTCATACACAATAATATACAAACACAATTGTCCTTTTTTTTTTTTTGGAAACATGTCTTACTTGGTCTCACTATTAAAATATAATAACCCAAATTTTCTAATTAATCTGTTACTTATTTTAGCTAAACATCATATTCACCGTTCCAAATATTTTGAAAGGAAACCTTGTTGTACTGCTTTTTACAATAAAGTTTAATTATTATATTCGAACAATCAAAGCCATTTTTCTGCTTCGCGACATTTTCGAATGACAAACACGTCACTGGTTGCGTAGCAACCAAACAACCAATGAGAGCAGAGATGCGAGTCCCTGCAGTTGATCCAATGTTTTTCACGTTTAAAAACAAAACGTTAGCTAAAAAAGCAACTAGCATCAAGCTAAACCTCGTATATTTAAATATAACCATTGGAGCAAACTACATTAAAGAACACAGCTTGATTTATCTCTTGATTGAAGTTTGCTCACATAAATGTGTTGAAAAAAAGCAATAACGTGTGAAAGTCGGAGGAAGTAGGTCAGACATTTAATGCCAAGGCAGGAGGAGGTTTGTTCATTAACGAGACACTTCACGGTTCAGTGATGGCTACAAGCAAGCTAACTGGTCTCAAACGACACGAACAAAGGTTAAAATGTATCAAGGTTCGGTCCAGCTGGGACGAGGTTCGGAAACGGTCCTAAAGCTACTCAGCAGCGCCTGGCTTCTGTCTGCGAAGCTCGGCCAGGTCCGGCCGAAAACAGGTCAACAACCCACCCGTGTTTCCACCCGACCGACCAAGCGTTGTTACCGGTTCTCGGTAACACAGGGGTGACCTTGTTTTAACACCGACAGCTACCAAACACCGACAGACACTGCGACGAACACAAACACCAGACCGACACGGAAACACTTACAAAATGCAGAAATTTCAGGAAAAATCCGGACGCTTCTAGTGACACAGAGCCTGTGAGGGAGACATGTTGAACAGATAAGTGTTAGCCACGGCGCAGCTTCCGGTTTGAAGCTTTATAAAATAAAGCAGTTCCGGTTTGTCTCTTTCACATCAAAACCGATGGTAACTAACACACACACTTGAATAACCCTAAACTAACTGTTTATTAAAGTAAATGAACCCTTTAATAAATGAATATCACTCACCACACTTCATACAGGAATCAGACTAAAATCATCTAATGTTGAGAAATGATGGTGTTAAAGTTGGTTTGGTCAATATTCAGAGATTTATAGTAAATAAGTACATTTACTTTGTTATAGTACTTAAGTAGTTTTTTGAGGATTTGTAATTTTACCAATTATTTTTAAATAGATACTTTTACTTTTATTTTGTTACATTTTAAAGCTAAAATGATACTTTTACTTCTTTACTTTAAAATTCAATTAACACCTCATTACTCGACAAAATTAAATATATTCAAGCTCATTTTGAAAGATGTTTATACACTTAAAAATGAAGTGCTGAATTTACTCAAAGTCATGTCAAATGGCTRCACTAACCCTAGTTGAGTAAATTGAGCAAATAAAAATACATATTTATTTATCAATTTACTAAACCTGGTTTAGTGGAACTAGTTTGGTTCAGTTTATTCAACAGTTTATTTCTTAGAGAGTGTGTAAAAGTATGTTTACTTTCCCAATTTTGTAAAGTTTTATGACTTTTACTTGAGTAGTTTTCTCATCAGTGAAATTTATTTTTACCAAAGTCATTTTCTGTTCATGTAATTTTACGTCTTAGTTATTTTTTCCAAGTACTTTATAGACC